CCAATTCCCCTCGGTCTAATGCACCTGGGATTCCTTTAAGGATTTGCTTTATCTCATTTTTGAAATCCTCGTCTGCTCTTATTTTGGCCCTCGCACAGATCAACTAATCACAGGAGATTACTATGCAAGTCAAAGAAGCATCATGCTCTGACAGGATGATCTGCGTACTATCCCACGTTAACTAACAATTGTTACTATCCCACGTTAACCCTTACAATTGGGATATTCACTTTACTGATATAAATGAAGAAGTAAGAATATTATATGAACTGCGAATTTAACAAAAGATATAATTAATAATCCAAATGTTCCAAAGCATTCAAAGCTGCATCAGGAATATTGCACACATTAGAAGCATCAAATGAAACATATTCCGACAGTGTTACTGACAGGTTTTCAACAGCAAAATCAAATAGTTCATCATCTTGAATAAGACATTCCCATTCAACATCTATGTCTTCAAAGACAATAGAGTCATCAGAAGTAGAACTAAGGTCAAAACAATCTCTTGGCTCACACTTGATATCATTGAATGTTTCTGCGATAATATTTAAAATAGCATTGGTATGTCTAAAATGCCACACTTCAACATGCTCCTGGACATCTTTAGTGAAAATGCAATGACAGTTTTTAACAACCTGATCTATTTGCACTTCTGAAAAACCCAACATGAATTTAATACTGGGTACCTTAAGATTAGAATGGTGTTTTTTAACTATCTCTTTTAGAAGTGACTTGTGGTAAGATGTTAAAGAGTAGTACACTGCTTTCTGTTGTTCTTTAGAAACTACTCTGGATTTCTTGCTGTTTTGAGTGCTATCTGCACAATCTTGAGTAACCATTCCAGGAAATTTGACTAAGTCACCACGTCTTTCATCGCCACAATCACAATCTTTTGCACAATTATCACAGCAAAGATGAAGAGTTACAGGAGTTTCGATTTCAAAAGCCAAATCAAACTGATTAAGTAAACTTAGTAGTGCGTCGACAACGTTTACCTTGTAGGTATTTCTTTATATTTTTTCAACATGATTTAACATCAGCCCTTTATAAACTATGTATGCAACACTCTGTTCATTGTCTCTACCAGCACGTCCACTTTCTTGAATATATGCCTCTACATTCTTGGATGGGCCAAAGTGAATGATCCAATGCACTCCATTACAATCTATACTCATCCCGAATGCTATCGTAGCTACTAGGACTCGAATATCTGTATCACAATCTTGAAATGCATTAAGAATTGCCTCTTCATTTGCCTTGGGTGTGCATGCACGAAGTATTTCGACTAACACCATGCCTTCTGTCATTAACCCTTTGAGTGTAGAGCTTGTTGCCAACCATTGCCTTTATTGTTGAGTAAATTATTGTAGCTTGCTTTGTTTGACAATAAATAATAGTGCGTTCTGTAGATTTCCCATGTTCTTTTAGTTCCGCAACAACCCACTGAAAAGAGCTTTCAATAGATTGATCTTTGTCCATATAATTGACAGAATATATAATGTTAGGTTTGCTTGGGCTTTCATTAACGACAGCTGGGCAGTCCATTTGCAAAACATCGATTATCACTTCTCTTGTGTTTTTTGTAGCCGTTGCTGTAAGGGCCAAAACTTTTACACACGGTACGAGCGCTCTTAATTCATGAAGTTTTCCATAGCATTCTCTAAATGCAGCCATGTTGTTGTTGTTTGATGTCCCCCTGAATAAAAAAGTCAGATGAAGCAATAGTATACCTAGAACATCGAACGAACAAACAGAGAGAAAACGGTTCTGGTAAAATAACAAATAAAAGTTCGATCGAATTTACTCCGAATCGATCAATTATAAAACGGCAAAATGAACTTACCACTGCTTAATCACATGAGCTTCATTGACTGCAATGCCACATAGCTTTGATTGATATGTAGAACTTGTCAACATTCTCCTCCACCTTTCATTGTTGAGCCAGGACTCCGGCGTTCCGAATACAGCTTCGTATTTTCCCTGTTCCACTGACGAAATTTCGCCCTCTTTTATGCTACACAAGGATACCGATGAAATTCCCAAAGATCTTAATTTCAGGTTAATTAGAGGCGACACAACTGCAATGATATGGCCACGTTGTTCGCGTATGATATCAAAAACTGTCGGAAGCGCCAAATATATCATCGATTTACTGGCTCCGGTCGGCAGATTTACAAACACATCTTTGCCTTTAAAAGCGAAGTAATCAATAGCTTCTTTTTGGAAATTATTTAACTCTCCGAGGCCGAACTCTTACATACTTCGGCAAACACCGACGGGCTGTCCGCCATTTTGAAAAATATTGCCCGAAATACTAGCCAAGGTCAAGGTCAATAATCAGGATTTCGGGAGGTTCGCTCTGATTGGCCGAAGGCAAATCTCGCTTCAATGGAGCAGACGTTCATCGGGGGAGAATTTTTAATTCGACACCCAAAGAACGTCTGCAAAGGAGGCTATCTCTCTATCAGAGCAGCTAAATATTTTTTTTTCCTACCCTAACATAGCATAACAGTTTCTTCAAGAACCACTTTTACTAATTCTCATTTTAAATCTTAGGAGCATTTGAATGTTTGTGACTTTATTGATGTAAAGTGCCCTAAGAAGTGTGGAAGAGAAATGCAGAGAAAGGATCTTAAAGAACATCTGGAGAAAGAATGTCCCAACAGAACACTACCTTGCAAACACTGCAAAAATGAGATAATGTGGAATGAATTGGAGGTTTGTCCTTGCAATGGAAGGGCAAAGGGGCCTGACCCCTGATTTTCTTAGAGCTAGACTGAGGCCTGCTGAGCCCTTGCAGCAATAGAGAAGTTGCTATCCAAAATGTTTTGTCAGAGAAGACCTCATCAATCACCTGAATGCAGAGAGAAAATAGAAATTGATCAAATTACTTTCAATATTTAAAGGTGAAGGTGTTGATTCACTTATCACAGAACATGGGAGGTTAAAAATCCCAGCCACATGGGACAAACCAACTGGCTATTGATAAATGGTAGGCAAGGAGTTGAATCAAGGGCGACCAAGAATAAGTCCACATAGTGGTAGAGAGAAGAATGTAAACCTCAGGACTCCTGGGCTGCAAATTCAACACACTAATTGCTCAGCCATGCAGCCTTGGCAGTGTTCGGAAGAGTTCACAGATTGCAGCAATTATGATAATGACGACAGTCTGAATTTGATTTGTGTTGACATACCTGCTCAAAAAAAAATCAAAAAGTTTATTAGGAATTCCTCTTTAAATAGTTTTAATAGTGGCGTCCTATCCCTAAAAGATCAGCAGGGAAATATTCTGACAATTGAATTCTGACAATTGCTTGGTTACAGTTGACATGACATTGTAACAGCATTGAGGTACTTATTGAATAATTCGCCAAAATATTTTCCTTTTCTTTAGGACCACTATGGGAACTGTCCCAAATTTCCTGTCAAGTGTGACAGCTGTAAGAAAGAAAACATTCCAAGAGAAAGCGTAAGTAGAAACTTAAAAGATGATTAACTCTCTACTAGATTTATCAAGACTTATTTGTTGCAAATGATGTTTATCCTTAACTCTTTCGGTCATTTTACCATATTTTATGTATCAGCATTGCTATTTCTTAATGTTCAGTTATGTGTATAGTGTTCTCTTTCACTCAAAAGCTATTCCTTATGTTTATTTCTCTGCCTACTCTCTCTTCCTACCTTGGTAACCTCGTCCCTATTTTGCCCTTACCCTGTCCTTTGTGTCATTTTATTTTTAAGATCTGGAAACAGTTAAATGTAACTCTCTGTCTGGTGAAATGTTATTTGTTCTTCCTTAACAGCCTTTCATGCATCTCATGTTGAAAGCACAAAAGTACAACTTGTATTCCATTGTGTCACACAGTATGCAATGCCTGCCTTTAAGTAAAAAATTGATAAGTCAATTTTAAAAGTCAGTGGGCATGTTTTTGCAAATCCAAGTAGAAAGACTTGTATTTATAATAAGTGTGTGTTCTTTAGCTGAAAGAACATTTGGACAAGGAATGTCCTGCTGTGAAATTGAAATGTCCTTTCTACATTGTTGGATGCTTATATGAGGTATGTGGAGAGAAAGTATAAATTTACTGATTGCACATTTAGCATCTCTCTAAAACAAGAATACACTGAAACCTGTATAAAGTTCTAATATTAAGTTATTTAGTCAGTGAGTAAGTTAGAGAGCCAGTCTGTGGCTCATTCATTTGGTTTGTCATTCAGTTAGTTTGTCTCTTAGTCTGTCAGTCAGTCAGGCAGGCAGTCAGCCAGTTAGTCAGCCAGCCAGTTAATCAGTTAGCTCGTCAGTCATTCAACCAGCCAGACAGTTAGTCAGCCTGTTATGTGGTACTTTACCCTTGAACTATTTTAATCCTAATTTCCTCTTTTCCATCACTGACAAAGATAAAATTTCAAATTTGTTAGGGTCTGCGAATAGCAGTCATTGAACACGTTACTAAAGAGTTACCAAACCACGCAATGGAGATGGCCAAGAAACTTGGTGAGTTGGTGGAAACTGGGTCTGGCAGTCATGACATGGGGGGGCAGAGAAATGCGAGTGGTACACAGCGACCGAGGGGTGGGGCGGAGGCTTTTCCTCGGGAGCAGGCGAGCCAAGAAGGATATTTACACGACTTGTCAAGCAGGACTCAGACTCAGCGAGATGAGATTGACGAATTGAGGCGCAAGGTCGCTGAGATGAGCAATTTAATACATCACCTGGAGAGGCAGCTGGAGGAAACTCGTATGAGACAGGAAAGGCCGATCCAAGAGTTGACATTAAGGTAAGTGACACTACAGAAATTTTTATCTAAAATACTTGGAGAAAATCTCCTATGGTTTCTAAGGAAAGTTTGTATATCTAATGGATCAGATGAAGTACTGTGAGTATAGCAAGTATCTCGCTAGGAACAGAAGGTTGGAGAGAAACTGGGAATGTTATTGCTATTGCTACAAAGAAATTTATCAGTTTCATTACCGAGCTCAAACTGTGTCATCCTTCTCATTATCTTTACGCACATAAAGCTCTCGACATTGCTTATCGTTGCTACAGGATGCCTGTCACATTTGATCCTCGTAATGTTCTAGCCTATTGTAGATTCTCTGTGCCTAAGGGGTAAGGAATTGTAGCACGGAATCCTAAGGCTTGAGATTCGATTCTTCATGGGTCTCACAATTCTGCGTGGAATTAAAGGATATACTCGCACCTAGGAGAAATCTAAGGAGTCTGAGAATTTGGTCCAGTTTACTTCGCGATTTGTGTAACAAAGGCGCACGGGTAAGATTCTTGAGCACTTTCAGTCTATCGGATGTGTCCGTAGAGGAAATCTGGGAGGAACTGAAGAAAACAATCGCACCTTGGAGAAATAAAAAGTGCTGAGAATGTGTTTCCGTTCATTTCTGGTTTGTGTTACAAGGGCACAGGTAAGATTCTTGAGCACTTAAGTCTGTTAGACGTATCCCTAAAGGAAATTTGGGAGGAACTGAAGAAAACGCTCGCACCTTCGGGAGGGATAAGCGCGTCATTTCATCGGTTCACAGTACATTTTGAGATAGCTGGAAGCAAGGGTGTAAAAGTAACTCTTGAAAAAACTTTATTGGAAGAAAGTCTCGAGTGTGTGGAACAATTTAATTTAAAGTATGTGGAAAAATGACGCAATTTTTAGACACGACTCAAAACGTCCATTGAGTCGTTGCTTTTAGGGTCATAATTTCCATCATCGAGTATCGGGCTTTGTGCACACTTGAGCAATTTTTTTTCATCGATATATATATATATTTTTAATTTCTTCAATTTAAAGGGGGTATTTTGTACACCAAAACTGTGTAATAAAAAATCTAGGTCACCGTTCAAGAACTAAAGACCTCTTTACCTGATTCATTATTTGCCTGATGCCGTGATTTTTATGCTCAGTACAGGATGCGTAGTGCAATACTGAGGAATCACCCTAACACCAAATTGCAATCGTAATCATGTTATTACTTTTACTAACAATCGGACAACAACTGAAAACTTAAAGCGCGCGAGATACTTAGGCAACAGTCGGACAAGGGCTAAAAATTTAAGCTCACTTGATAATAACGAAACAATCAGACAACGACGGAAACTTTAATCGCGCGAAATACTGGCGAAATAATCGGACAATTAGGAAAACGTAAAACGCGTGAGCATGAAACCGTATTTCGTCAAGGATATTTTCACTGATTTCTGTATTCGAGGATATTATTTGAGTATTGTTCATGTTGTGTTGCAACTTGGCATGAGAAGTTTGATCAAGATTAGGGCTTTTTTGTAAAACAAAACGCAATATGCAATGAAATGCATCGATCGAGATATTTCAGTCTTCGTCACCGCCTTCTCCGTTAATATACACCTTTTGTGAGATTCTTGGCTAATCTTTATCTATTAAGGCTTAACAGATCTGCAGCTTTTCTTTTTAACTTGATTTACACTCATTCAGTTTAGCATGTCGGTATCTAGAAGATCAACTCGATGAAAGGTTTTTTAAAAAGGTCTTATTCGAAGAATGTCTAATAGTGGCCTCTTCACTGGAAACTCGCTCTTGATCTGAATTTTGTGGTTTTCCCGGAAATATTTCACACGTAGCCAAGATTGTCAGCAGGTGAATCCATGACTTCTACCTAAACTTCTTCCATCATTTGCAGGTTTACTCCTCGAGGCTTATTTTTCTTTTCTAATGTAGAAGCTGTCCACCGTTCCTACCATTATAAGCATGGTCCATCAGGGGAAATTACATATTTAAGTGTGGCTGATATCACACGCTCTGATTAGCTAAGAGCTAGAGCACAGCTAGTGTTAGGAACTACTCAATAGCCAAGAGTGAGGACTTGACGGGAAAATCTCAAACTCAGGACTTGCCGTATTGATCAAGCAACCAGACGATCACGGTTATTAGGATTTTTGCTACAAGGCCATCCCTCGGAGTTACGAGTTCGATGGTTGAGTGGCAGGTGAATTGCAGTCTAAAGAGAACGCAGGGTTGTCGGAACAGCAACAAGAAGATTTATTCCAAAATGAACGTAGTTTCCACTTGATAAACTCTACACTAGCACGTAACTTAGTAATCTTACACGTCCTCCGCCAACTCTGATCAGCTTGAAAATACACACGGCCTCCGCCAACTTCAATAGACTTGAAAAATACACACGGCCTCCGCCAACTTCAATAGACTTGAAAAATACACACGACCTCCGCCAACTTCAATAGACTTGAAAAATACACACGGCCTCCGCCAACTTCAATAGACTTGAAAAATACACACGGCCTCCGCCAACTTCAATAGACTTGAAAAATACACACGGCCTCCGCCAACTTCAATAGACTTGAAAAATACACACGGCCTCCGCCAACTTCAATAGACTTGAAAAATACACACGGCCTCCGCC